GGGAAATGTTGACAACAATGTACAGTGAGATCCACTCACTGATGGGGCAGTATTGACCATAATGTACAGTGAGAGTGCGTGATCCACTCACTGATGGGGCAATGTTGACCATAACATTGATTGATTTGAGTTATTGTCACATGTACCTAAGTACAGTGAATAGCTTTGTTTGCGAGTAGTTACAAGCAGATCACAGTAAGCAAGGACATACAGATCATAGGGTGGAAAAACAACTTGGATAGGGTGAGGCATGCAGGTTACACTGCACAGGATGTGCGTGAGGCCAGATCAAAAGTAACAAGATCAACATTATTATAATTATTATAACCCTATTGTAGTTAGAGACTCTATTTATGTGTCTAATAATGGTAGGGAAGAAGCTGTCCTTGATCCTATCGGTGTGTGTTCAGGCTTCTGTATCTTCTGCCTGACGGAAGAGGTTGTAGAAGAGCATTACCAGGGTGGAGGGGTCTTTGATGGTAGCCTTTCTGCGGCAATGAGAGATATAAATAGAGTCCATTAATGGGATGTTGGCTTCTGCGATGGTCTGGGTTGTGCACTCAATCTTCTGTAATTTCTTACGGTCCACAGAGCAGTTGCCATACCAGGCTGTTAAGCACCCAGACAGTATGTTTTCTATGGTGCATCTGTAAACGTAGGTCAGGGTCCTTAAGGACATGCCAAATTTCCTGAGCCTCCTAAGGAAGAAGAGGTGCTGCTGTGCCTTTTTGACCTTTGCATCTTCATGGGAAATCCAGGACAGGTTGTCGGTTATTGTCGCTTCTAGGAACTTGATGCTCGCAACCCTTTCAACCTGTTGATGTAGATGGGGGCATGTTCTTCTCTTTTCTTTCTGAAGTCAATGATCAGTTCTTTAGTTTTGCTGATATTGAGAGAGAGGTTGTTATCATTGCACCATTGCACCATGTCACCAAGCCCTCTATCTCCCTTCTGTATTCTGAGTTATCATTGTTTGATATCCATTCTTCCACAGTGGTGTCGTCGGCAAATTTGTAGATGGCGTTTGTTCGGAATTTGGCTGCATAGTTGTGGGTGTACAGGCAGGGAGTACAGTAGGGGGCTGAAATTGCAACCTTGGGGGGTGTCCCAAGGAGTGTTATCGCGGAGGCGGTGCAGTTGTCTATCTTCGCTGTGGTCAGGAAGCTGAGGATCCAGTTGCTGAGGGCAAAGCTGAGACCCAAGTGTTTTGAGATCAGTGTGGAGGGGATAATGGTGTTAAAGGTGGAGCTGTAGTCATTGAGTAGGTGTCTGACCGAGCTGTCCTTGTTGTCCAGATGTTCCAGGGATGAGTGCAGGGCCAGGAAAATGGCATCCACTGGGGACCTTTTACGTCGGTAGGCAAATTGCAGGGGATCGAGGCAGGCTGGGAGACTAGAATTGATGTGGGCCATGACTAGCCCCTCGAAGTACTTCATGATTGTGGAGGTCAGGAGTGAGTGAACTTCTCACTGGTATTGAATATTGACCATAACACGCAGTGGGAGTGAGAGATCCACTCACTGATGGGGAATATTGAACCCTCATGTACATTGAGAATGAATGACCCATGATGGGAAATATTGATCATAATGTGCAGTGACAGTGAGTGAACTACTAGAAAATTGTTGGAGGAAGGGTCACTGGACCTGAAACGCTAACTCTGATTTTTCTTCACAGATTTTGCCGGACCTGCTGAGCTTTTCCAGCAATTTCTGATATTGTTGGAGGGATTTGGACAACTTGAGTCTTAAGTCTGAGTGGGTTGTAACAAGCCAGTCTTTATTCAAGCTTGCACCAATACTGTGTCAGATAGGCCTCAGAGTACAGCTCCAAGACTCTCTGCTGTTTACATCCCAAAAGTATTGCATCACAGTGTTTACATTCAATATCTGTATGAACTAAACTATATGTCAGTCATTTACTGCAAAAACAGGATGCAGCTTATTTTCTTGCAAGGTGCTGAGTCCTCTAGTTCAACCAGAAATTCCATTTTTTTTCCCATCTTCAGGGTTTATCTGTCCCCACCATCTGCTCCTAGCACCCAAACCTTCCTTTATGATTAATGCTTGCGTGGCCATCTTAAGCCATACAGATGGTCTCTGAACATTAAGTAACTGCTGGCTGTATGTGCAATGCTAATAACCTGTGATCTAGGGGTCATATAGCATGTCCTTCTTGCCCAACACAAATGACAGCTGCTCCTTCAGTTAACTGCCAAATGTTCCCTCTAATGGATATGCAGTTAAACTACCTGAGCAACACTAACTATTTCCTTGTGAGGATATATCTCAGCGAACTGGTTGCCTGAGCTGCTTGCTGTCTCCCATACACCATACTGCACAGCATTATGCATATTACATTACTCCAACCTTGTACCCAACTACCCTTCTTCAGGGATATTGACCATAATGTTCAGTGAGAGTGAGTAATCCATGGGTGGGGAATACTGACTGTAATGTACAGTGAGTGTGAATAGGCCATTGATGGGGAATATAAACTATTATATACAGGCAAGGGCGAGTGGCTATCCAGTGCTGGGGAGTATAGACCATAATATTAAATATATGTATTTTATCTATCACTTAATGCTGCTTTTTTTTTACTAAGGGGATGCAGTAGCATTGTGGTAATGTCACTGCACAACTAATCAAAAATCCCAGGTTCATGATCGAGAGTTCGAATCCCACCATAGCTCATCGTGACTATGTAACCGCTGTTGAGTGTTGTTAAAAGCCATCTGGTACCCTTTTAGAGAAGGAAATTTTCACCTTTACCTGGTCTGACCTACATGTGCCTCCAGACCCTCACCGGTGCGGCCTGGCCATGAAATTAAAAGCAAAATCATTCTGGTCTCTTGCTCGTGTGGTTTGGTCTCTTGTCTGATAATACTCCTACTAAGCGGCTATTAAGGTGTCATGACAGGTCGGAACAGAGTAAATGAGGATCAAATTGTGTTGGCTCTTGAAAAGGCTAAGAATGCGAGGGCACAGGTTTAAAATAATTGACAAAATAAGTGAAAAGGGATAAGAGAAAAAGCTTTTTAATCAAGTGAGTAATTAGGGTGTGGACAGCAGTGCTGTGACTGTGGTAAAGGAGTGTTCAATTAATGCAGTCAAATGGGTTAGATTTTTTTTCCTAGATTGTTATCTGGAAGCGTAGAATGTATGGGGTTACAGGGTGATGGCAGTCAGTGGATTGCTCACTTGGAAAGTCAGCACAGATCGGATGGGTCAAAGGACCTCCTGTGCTCTGAACCTGGTATTCTGTAAATACACTATAAGAGAGGAGAATTGCAAGTGTAGCTTGGTCAGCTGTGGAAGCAGAGTATTCCGGTGATGCCGTAAGCGTCCATGGCACCATGTACGATGACAAACTCATGGCACCCAGGGCCATCTGTTTCAGGTTTTCCAGATGGCATGAGGTCGAGCTCCCACAGCCGGAGTGGGAGCCATGACCGCCACGAGGAACAGACGGACACATCGGACAGTGAATCCTTCACCTTACAAGTGCGCAAAATCAATCAGCAGCCGGCAGTGTGGAAATCGGGAGAGCAGGGATATGACCCTAACAGGTGAGTGGGTGTGGGGAGCGATGGGCATTTACTTCACTCCTGTTTCAGAGGTGGATGGTTCTGGCGGGGATTTGGACTTTGGTGAAATGTTTACCAGAAACTTTCATATTATGTTTGCCCGAACTACAGAAATGCAGTCAGCTGAGCCTGGAAATACCATTTCCATAAATTTGACAATGCAGTCGCAGCATTTGACCCACGCTGAGATTTAACATTCCTCCCCATCTCTCCTTTCTTTCCCTGTACCTACATGTCATTCTATTCCTTAAATAAGATACAGAGAAAGCATCGACTTTACATATTAGGCAGCATCAGTAGAGAGAAAGGAACAGTTGATAATTCAGATTCAGTGATTGCAAGGAATGGCGATTGTCCCAGAATGTTAACTCTGTTTCTCTCTCTCTGTGGATTTGCTGAGCATTTCTCCTAGTTTTTGTGTGTTTTCATGCTCCATTTTACAACAGTATAATAGTAAACTTTGTGCTCACTATTCTTTCCACAATCCTATTGATCCTGACTGGATCACAACTGCTGAAGGGAAGGTGTAACCCCATCTCCATTCTCCTGTACAATTACTGATTAGATGCTGTTCCCTTCAGTGAAAAATGTTTGCTTGTTTGAGGGGAGGGAGGAAATGTATCAGTTTTGCAATGCATTATTAACCTAACCTAAGCTTTGAAGGGCTTTGATAGGAGAGATTGTTTCGGTAACCATTGGACATGGCTTGAGGAAAATCGACCAAAGAACCGGTGGAAGGGTTAGACATAAGAAATTCTCGTGTTGAGAGTTTGATGGTCTAGAATATACTATCTGAAAAGGTGGCACAAACAGGTTGGAAATGCACTCCATTTAAAAGCTTCCAGCTACATTGTATGATTGTATGCAGGTTGTTCTCTTACAGTCCAGCCTAGGTCAATTGTGCTGCAAGAGTTGGCTCAGTGTGGGTGGTAGTGGTGGGGTGGGGATCAGGGTAGGGATGGGTATGTAAGCAAGGGAGATATCGCCAGTTGCATGCAACTTCTCTTTTTTTTTTATGTTCCCTTCCATAGCCTCTGTTCCAATGCATTCCTCATGGTAAAGGTCTGTATTTTAAAGAAAATATTTTATTTGTTGTTTGAATGGAAATGCCTCAGAACGGGACCATGCAGTGAATCAGGAATGATACCACCTGCTTCCTCTCCCTCCCTTCCAGTGCCGCCCACAATACTCCTCAACATCACACCCCCACCCCATTACACTGAAGTGCAGCCTGCTTACCATGCCTTTAATAGAATTTCAGTGATAAAAGAAGGCTCCTGTTGATTGAGATACATTTTGCTTTCTCCTTTTTCATTTTGCATCACTCAGGTTCCGCCTCCATTTGGAAAAAGAAAGCCGAGAGGAGATCGAGCGGAGGAAGAAGGTCGTGCAAGAGAAAATTGTGGAGCTCATTCCAGAAACTGAACTGGAAGTGGACATTGTCGACATTTATAAGCCAGGCTCTGGTGAGTGGTAACTATGCTTGGTGCAGTTTGTTTCTAGATTGACAGTTGCTGTCCAAGGAATGAACAGAATAGTTTTTATGTAAGTTAGAAACACTTTTCTTAAAAAAAAATTAAAATGTTTATGAGCATGCACCCTACGGAGCATTCTCTGCTGGCTTTCATCTAGCACCTTTAGGTTTAATGTCTTTGCCTTGCCACTTTGAAGGTTCTGCCTTCAGCCATCCAAAAGAAAGAACTTACATGTTCATTGTGCCTTGAGGCATCCCAGCAAGTTCCAAAATCAATGAAGTTATCATTGTAATGTAGGAGAAGCCGCCAATATGCACATACTCCGATCCCAAGAATAGCAGCTGCGTATTGACTAGTAAAATCAATCTTAGTTCAATATTGGCTTGATCGGCTGGGTTAGCTCCCCTGCTCTCTGAAATAGTTCATAGAATCATAGAATCGTAGAATCCCTTCAGTGTGGAAGTAGGCCCTTCAACCCAACAAGTCCACACCAACCCTCAGAGCATCCCACCCAGACTCGTCCTCCTCATCTACACATTCCTGAATGCTACGGGCAAGTTAGCATGGCCAATCCACCTCGCCTGCACATCTTTGGACAGTGCGAAGAAACCGAAGCACCCGGAGGAAACCCATGCAGACACGGGGAGAATGTGCAAACTCCACACAGACAGTCGCCCGAGGGTGGAATCGAACCCAGGTCCCTGGCACTGTCAGGCAGCAGTGCTAGCCGTTGCGCCACTACTTTTTTTTTTCCCGAGTGTAAATTTCATTTTTATTCTGTTTTAAAAACTGAGGACTTATGATAAAACTTTGGCATATTTTAAAAATAATCCATTTGTGGGGGTCTGAATGGAAAATGAGAACTTAAAATCAGCATATATTTGCACTAAATTTGATGAACTTTCAGATTATGTTGTAGAGTGCACAATTCAAAAATAATTCCATAATGTTACAAATTTACAGCAGATTGCATAAGAAACTATCAGACCACACTTTAAAGTGAATGAACATATTACATTACAAAAGTGCATATTTTGATTGATGGTCATTGTGATGGAAAAGTCCAGGAAACGTTCAGTCTCTGTTTATTTCTTAAGAATGTAGAATGTATGAGTTGACCAATGTATCTGATTAGAATGTAGTTGGTGTGGGATCTTTGTTTACAACTGATCGTTTAATGTCTCATTGAAAAGTTGACTGCTGTGGGGATGTGGCACTCCCTCAGTACTGCACAAAATTGTTAGTCTAACTGTTATACCGTCTGGAGTGGGAATTGACTGCAAACCTTCTGATTCAAATTTAAGTGTGCTTTGAACTGAGCCCAGGGCTGACATTTTGGCAGTAGTCTCTGGAATTTCCTCTTAAAATCTTTCTGTCTTTCTGTTTCACTTCATTGTGCTCCTGCGCAGTGCTTTGGGATGCCTTGTACTTAAATGCCATGTAAATGAAAATAGTTGTTGGTTCAACAGCGTTACAGGTCCTCCGTATCCTGCTATGTAAATTGGAGCTCCTCCAAGTACTGTTCACCAACCAAGCCTCCGCTTGCTGGCTTCTAGTTGAACAAAGCCTCAAATTTTTAAAATTCTTTTCCTTATTGTTTTTAAATTCTTTTGCAGTCTCGCCATCTCCCTATCTCTGTAATCTCATTTGACCCTGGGAAAAACGTCATTTGTTTCTTAACGTATTTTCACTTTGTCAAAAGCACACCCACTCCAGTCAGATTACTTTTGTTTCATTTCTTGCCCCATTTTCTTCTCTTTGGTGCTGGAGGACTAAGTCTTCAGTCATTCCTCCTGTTGCAGACCTTTTTTGTCTTTGTCCCCTTTACACATTCCTTCCTACAGAAGTATTACACCTTTAATTTTTCCCAACCCTGATGGACGGACGCATATGCTTTACTTTCAGTTTAAAAGAGTAGGGGAAGCTTTACAGTGAATGTAACCCCGTGCTGTGTCCTGTCAGTATTTGATGGAGACCTAACCCTGTGTTGAGGGAGCTTTACCGTCAGTATCAAAGAGTAGAATCTCTCTCTCTCTCTCTCTCTTTCTTTCTCTCTCTCTTTCTCTCTTTCTTCCCCCCCACCCCACCGCTGTCCTCTGCCCCGTGTCACCCCTCCCTCTGTCCTGTCTCTGTCTCTCCCTTCCCTTCTCGCTCTGTGTCTCTCCCCCCTGACCCCTGGTGTCCCTCCCTCATCACAGATCCTGCCGTAACTTGCTGGATGTCTGTAGCGCATTCCATTTTTATTTCAGATTCCAGCTTATCATGACTTTTGTATAAATTAATTCTTTTCTTCCCCTCTGATTTTTCTTTTTCACCAGGAATCTTAAGTTTCTGTCCTCTGGTTACCAAAACTCCTTCCACTGGAGATAATACAGCACTTTCTGTATCAACCCCTTCGTAACTTTGAACACATCTGTTAAGTCTCTCCTGCTCTTGGCTGGCACAGTTGGATATCTGAGTAATCTGGGACACGACAATGGAATGGGAGGGAATGAAGAAGCCGTTCACAGCCAACTTTAAAAACAAAAACAGAAGTTGTAAAAAATATACAAGGGGATGGGAATGTGAGGCTAGCTTGCTGTCTTAGCTGTCTATGCCTGAGTAACACAGACCAGGGAGATCCCTGTGATAGTTAGTCCCTGTTGAAATGTTGGTAAGGTCATTGTAATTGGCCTGAATCAACCTTGGTCCAAAAGTTGGTTATAGAAATCAAATTGAAGTTCCTGCTCATGTTATGCTGGTAATAGCTGTTCAGATATGGGGCGAGGACGTAAATAGGTTTAGTTACAACACCATCTACAATCAAAATACCCCATCGGCTGCCCCCTCGCATTGAAAGTGAGCAAAGTACTTGATGCCACGTGGCAGCTATGAAAATCTGTCCTGGAAAACCTGGGCACACAATTGGAGAAAAATAACCAAGAAGTACAACAGCTACTGGCCTCCCAGGATTCATTGGTCGCAGCTAGTCGAAAGGGGTGTCAGACGCACTCCAGCTAGGTTTCAGAGCCATAGCTCACTTCACAGAAAATATCACCAGTCAGCGTTTCTGTGACTAACCTTGCTGACACTAACGTTCTGTGAAAATTACCCTGTCATCATCATAGCTGGTAATGCTGGAACCTCTTAACTCTTTCCACGCGTGTGTACAATGTCGCCCAAAGTGTTTTTAGCAGCAGGGAGCATTAATAATGGCATTGGCACTGAGAGTGGAGCACTTCCTATTTCTGTTACTCCTTGTCTACATTGAACACTGCCAAAGCACAATTAGATATAGTGCAAAGCATCCTCTACACTGTCCCCATCTCAAAAACTCCCAGGACAGTGTTGGTATGGGATTGAATAAAGCTCCCTCTGCACTGTCCCCATAAAACGGGCCTAATGGATGTTCTGCA